TATGGAAAGATCGGGTTCCAAAGGCCGGATCCCTTGTGAATCAAGTCACGAAAAGTTCAAGAATCGGCAACAGGCCATGGGCCTATGTCTTCAACGCCGACACTTCTATTCTATTCTATTCTAAAGGTAAACATGGCCATACTGCATCTGGCCAAACCTCTTTAGGCCTAATCTATACAAACTGCAACCTTTCTCCACCCAAAACAAGCCTGAGTGGACCTAACCCAACCTCATTGGCTGCAAGAAGTTAGAAAGGCGGTCCAAGTGTGCTGGTAGAGCCAGTCATTGGCCACAAGAATGTTGTGAGCCGGGACAGCGTGAATGGTTTAGGCCAGAAGAGGTTAGGCCGGCGTAGATACAGCCGGATGGGGAATTGCCTGCTCATGAGCGAGCATGATTAAGCATTGGCTGAAGACCTACGGCGCTATTACCTTTCGGCAGTGTGTCGCTTGTCTGGATAACGAAGTTCTAGCGTAGTCTGCGGCTTCTAGTTCTGAGTTTTACTCTAGTAGGAGTAAAATTTGTGGCCTACGGCCAAGATATAGAGTGCAGAGAAGGGTTGTGTAAGTATTAGATGCAAGTAATAGGTTGTTGAAATGAAAGAAAACAGGGGATGGTAAAGAGGAGGGAGAATACTTTCAATTTAAATATGTTGTTCTGTTGGTTATTGCTAGGTCCCATTTATTGCAAGGTAATTTTGGACATTTGGCATGCACCGAAAATTATTATTTTTCATCATTATACTTATATATAATATTATTATATTATATTATTTATTACTATGCCATGGATCTCCGACAGGAGTTCCAACTTAATCCATGTATGTTAGACTGCATTAACATCACATGTTAATCCGTGAGTAACATTTTCATTCTCTAACAGTCTAACAGGTGGTCTCAATAACAATGCGCATTTGCTTCGGGTGGCATGTTTTGGACATTTACCGCGCCGTCACCCCGTCCCCGTCACCAAAGGCTCCAGGGCAACATCTTACAAATAATATAAGCGGTTTCAGCGTTCAGTAGGCCGTAGGCCTGTCGCCGATTCTTGACATCGTAGAACATACACTTCGTTTTGCGGTCTCGATTCTCGAACTCACAACTCGATGTCGCCATGTCGGTTGTCGGTGCTACAATTCTGAGCACGAGCAGTGTGCTTAATCGCGTTGCCTGCGGCGGAGTGCGGCCTCCTTGCCTTGCCTATTCGGGTGGATAGCTAGAGGTCAGCATAGCCCAAATCCACAGTGCGATAAACTGCGAGTCATTATTCATATACCTTCCCGAGCGTTCATGCCTGAGGGCATTATTATCTGAGCTGCTGAGCATACTCAGCTCAGCATAGTAGCCTGCAAGGCTGCACTATAATGTGCCTAAAGGCTAAAGGTAAAGCCATAGTGGCCATTTCCCAATTCCCATCATGGAACACCAACTTAAAAAGTCAGCACTGCCTTAGCTAGCCTAGCTAGTAGCTACCTACTCCACAAACCACTATATCCAATAGACCAGGCAATAGTCAATGGTAATCTGGCTCTGCAGGCTCTGCTCAACAGATTTTTACTCCACACCATCCCTTCTTACTCATGCCATAAGATTAAGACATAAGTCTTTACTTTACAGCTGTACAGCAGTACAAGTACAGGCATCATGCCTGTCAATCAATCAATCCACGCCTCGTAAATGGCTTTTCATGGCTGAGATATGG